TATATATATATATATATATATCTTTATTGATTTCAGAGAGAGGAAGGGAGGGGGAGAGAGAGATAGAAACATTAATGATGAGAGAGTTGTCATTGATCGGCTGCCTCCTGCAAACCCCTGACTAGGGATCGAGCCCACAACCCGGGCATGTGCCCTGACTGGAATTGAACCGCGATCTCCTGGATCCTAGGTCAATACTCAACCACTGAGCCATGCCTGGCCAGGTGAGGTCATGATTTTTAGAGCAAAGTAAATTGAGAAGAATCAGGACTTTCTCCTACAACTGTATGGAGTAAGGAATTTGAAATAACATAAAATATGGGATGAGAATTGTATTTTTTTAAAAGGCAGTGGCTTTAAGTTAATATGACCTTATCATCTGACTAATAATCAGGTATCTGTCCAAACAGATTTACAGGGTTGGGGCGGCTGCCTTGCCGCTGGGTTGCCATTTCTGACTTGGTGATATTTCATTAGTGTCATTCACAGTCTGTATTCGACATGAAATGACCAAGTAAGGCCACCCGGGATCGCTCTTTCAGGGTTCTCTGGCTCTGATGAGTCATTGCAGCACAGCCCTCCGACCCAGGGGCTGGTAAGAACAGACACACAGTAGGAAAACAAAGCCACCCAGAGCTGAAGCAGAGATCGCCCGGAGCTCAGGCGTGTGCTCACAGCTCTGCTGCATTCCCCTGTGTGACCATGTGCAAGTCACAGCCTTCCGGGGACCCGGGCTTCTCTTGCATAAAATAAAGTTTCTAGGGTCTCTTGCTGAAGTTCAGTCAGCTTTGGAGTTTGATATCCTCCAAGAGATAAGAGATGAGCCCTTTCAGGGACAGTGCTTCGTGATTAATGTAATTATAGCAGCTTTGTCGGCTGTTGGAAACAGCAGTGGCAGATGAGTCAGCCTGGCACATAGCTCTTGGAGATCAGTGATACTTTTATTGTTTAAAAAAAAAAAAAGAACTGACTACAGCACAAGTTTAGGTGCCAGCGGTTAGGGTGATGCCAAATTTCAGAGATAGCAGCGAGGCTCTTGTGCCGAGGACGGTATTGGAGGGCCCTGTGGTCACAAGCTGGTTTTCCCGGCTGCACCTCCACTTCAGCTGTCCCTAGGGAAGACGCTCACGTGGGAGACCATGGGGTGTGACATCCCCACCCAGTAAACAGGCCACACCGCACATGTTGCGTGGGACATCCCTAGCAGTGACTGAGAAGAGGCAGGTGGTATTTTTGAACGCCTTCCTCCTGCCTGGTTTTGTTCTCCAAGGATGGACATAAAAGGGACACTCCAGTCAAATGCATGCTCTCTTATGAGCTCCAGCTGCAAACCCCTGGATGAAGCATGGGCTTTTCTATAATGACAGGCAGATCTGACTACCCATCCCTCCTCCCTTGTCCTTCCTCTAGGCCCTGTCTCAGACTCCTCCAATGGCCATAGATGCAGGGAGGAAATTCCCCTTTCTCACAGGGCTGGGCCTCAGCCTGCCTGTCTGCTGATCGATCTTGTGCTTTTCCACACGTCCAGCTTGGCTGATACAGCCGATGTGAGTCCCACGTGCAATAGGAAGGGTTGGGTTGGGGGTCAAGATAGATGGGGCTTATTCTGAATCCCAGCTGTGCCACTTCCTGGCTGTGGGACCTGGGCTGAGTTATTTAGCGCAGGTCATAAGTGTGGTCATATTAATAGTCATGATGCAGGTAGCTCCACTGTGTCTTCAAGAACTACATTTTTTTCTTAAACCATATAAAAATGCCTCCTCCTTAGAGGGAGTGAAGGGGGGGCAGAAACTAGATGGGCAGGGATCTCCCCCTTTCACATGCTCCCAGGGCAAAGATTTTCAAACTCTGGAAGCAATAATCTACTTTTTTAAAAAGTTAAATGAAACTGTAATATATTAAGTGAGTAAACGGCTTTTGTTTCTAAAAATATGGTTAAGTTGAAATTTATAATTAAGCTAATAAGAATGATGAAGCAGTTTTGATGAATATAGAAATTTGAAATAGGGGAGATGACAGATGACTGATAAGGTCTTTCCCCTGGAACATATAGGTAAATACAGTTGTACCTCAGTATCCACGGGGCATTGGTTCCAGGACCCCAGCAAATACTAAATCTGCAGGTGCTCCGGTCCCTTATTACATAAAATGGTATAGAACAAGGCACACAGTTGTCCCTCCACATCCAGACGCCCAACCACATATTGAAGATACTGTTTTCAATCCAAGGTTGGTTGAATCCAAAAGGTCACAAAACTCATGGATACAGGGATGGAGCCTGTATTTGCAAAACAGTTCTCCTTTCCTTTCAGTCAGGTGCTACTGGCCAGTTACAGAGGAAAGATAGAAGGCTTAGTATGCCAAGGCTGCCCAGCTTATATAAACTGGCACATTTCTGTTCACATGTAACAGATGGGAATGAACTTTTACATTATTGCATTTTTTTCCAAAATGCTTATACATTTAAAAAAGAAAAGAAATTTAAAGTAAATGTTAAAATGTATGAAACACTTCCGTGGAATCCCAAGGTTTGGCAGAAGAGTGCTTGAACCCTAACCCCTGAGGTCTTTGGGGCACTCAGTTCTCCATTTACTCTCTGTTTCCTGTTTGGTTATAGTGTGTATGTGTCGGCTTATGGAGATCTATACAGTTTTCAGAACTAAAGACCATTTTATATAAAATAGGGTGGAATTTGAATGAGATCTGCAGTCTGGTTGGCAACATTGTATCAGTGTCCCCCAGTTGCTTGTTTTGATACTGTACTATAGTTATGTAAAATGTTACCGTTGGAGGAAGTTGGGTGAAGGGTGCATCTGTACAGTACTGTTTTTTGCCATTTTCTCTGCATCTTTTTCTTTTCTTTTTTTTAAAAAATATATCTTTATTGATTTCAGAGAGAGGAAGGGAGAGAGATAGAAACATCAATGATGAGAGAGTCGTTGATCGGCTGCCTCCTGCACACCCCCGACTGGGGATGGAGCCCGCAACCCAGGCATGTGCCCTGACTGGGAATCGAACCCCGATCGCCTGGATCCTAGATCGATGCTCAACCGCTGAGCCACGCCCGGCCGGGCTGCATCTGTTTCTAATTATTTCAGAATTTAAAAGTAAACAAGTCATTTGCAAACAGTCATCTTATACTTGTTAGGAGGGAGTAGAACCAGCATAATAGAAAAGTGTGCCTACCACATATACAGAGGGGCTTTCCATTTATCTTACCTTAAAAAAAAAAAAAAAAAAAGACATCTTTTCTTTCCTGACCACTGAGCTCTGTATCCTCCCCCTCACTCTGTCACTGACTGTGACACTGTTGAAATTTTAGAAAGAAAACACAGCCAATGGCACAAAGAGAGCTCTTCCGGGACATCTGGTTTACCCGCTGCTTAATTACTTCAGTAAGAAAACGGTGCTGAAACCCAAGAGCTCAGTGTGCAGTCACCTGATACAGACAGAGGTATATGGATAATGCAGCGTGCTATTTGGAAGCACTCCTGTGCTTAAAACATTTAGTAATTAGGCCAAGGCAGTGTCAACGTGCCATGATGTCCTGATGTGGCCACACGTACAAATCGGAGTGTCCTGGGCCTGGCGTGGGGGACACGCTGATGAGTAGTCTCAGGAGGAACGATGAAGGAATAAAGATAGTTTAAAAAGAGTAAACCTGGGATCCATTCACTTCTGGGTGTGCAAAGGGAAAGTGGGCGTGGAGCAGTGAACTGGGGTTCTTTCTCTGTTCCCCTGGATTTTACAGTGTTCTGTAATTACCGCCTTGTTCTTTGTCACTTGGAGGACTGCAGCAGAATTCCCTGAGCCAGCAGGTCTGTTTTTTTTGTTTTTTGCCAAAAGAGTGATTATCTCGTCTGCTTTGACTGTAATGGATGGATGGGGTCGATCACATCTATCAGACACCTGTGAAGGTGAGCGCAGCTCAGGACCGCGCTTTAGTGAATCCTTTTAAAATTGATTTTTTAGAGAGAGAGGAAGAGGGGAGGGAGAGAGAAACATTGATGTGAGAGCGGAACATCAATTGGCTGCCTCCTGAACACCCCTTCCAGGGATCGGGCCTGAAACCAGGGCGTGTGGCCTGACGGGAAATCGCACCAGCAGCCTTTCGGTGCACCGGCAACACCCACGCACCTGAGCCACGCCGGCCAGGGTGTGAATGTGTAAATGTGCACTAATGTGACCCTGCTTTTAAAAATTCCGTTTACTCGGGAGCATCAAAGGCCCTTTGCATTAAGTGGGGCATTAGTTTGGTGCCAGGTGTGGAGACGCCCTGCTGACTCCGGAGACTAAGCCCTCAGCTTTCTGGAATCACTGTCTGACCAGCTTTTCTGGCTTCTTCCCCAGGGTCATCAATGCCGGGAAGAGCACGCACAATGAAGACCAAGCCAGCTGCGAGGTGCTCACCGTGAAGAGGAAGGCAGGGGCCGTGGCCTCCACCCCCAACAGGAACTCCACCAAGAGGCGGTCCTCCCTTCCCAATGGGGAGGGGCTGCAGCTGAAGGAGAACGCGGTGAGACCCCCCTTCACCCCGGTCCTCGGGTGCGGGGACCACGCACACTCTGGCCCCGCTGTGAGGTGGTTGAGCTGAGTCCAGTCTGTCAGGATGGGAGAAAAGCAGTGTCCCCACAGTTAGTGGAGTGGCTGCCAGTCAGAGCTGACGGTGACATCCGTATGAAGACCTGGTGTTCAGGTTTCTAACCTTTAAAGTGAATTAAACACCCAAATCATAGTGCAAGGATTAGCACGTAGAGCGTTCGATGGTTTTCGGGTAGCCCCACTGCAAGGTTTTGGTGAAGGAGCTAGTTTGGCAGCCACTCACGAGGGGTGGAAATAACTGTCGCCACTGGCTCACAGCCCTGCTCTGACTTTGCCCCTTTCTTCCCCTTTCCTGTCCGTTGGACTTGTCCGCTTGGAGCCTGCGCCTGACCTTGTTGCAAATTAATACTTGTTTCACTTGGCCCAAAGCCCTTGCATCCCATGGGGTGGCCCTGCGCACAGACCACAAACCGTTTCTCCCCTCTCCAGTTCCTGGAGAATGAAGCAGGCATCCTCTGAAAATTCAGAAGGAGCACTTAAGAAAGGATAGGGAACGACTGGCACTGTGTCCATCAGCAGGTTGTTTAGTCCTGCAGAAAAGAGACATCGAATGGATGACCCAAATGTGACTGTTTGTTCTGACAGTCTTGAGGATACTTTTGTACGTAGATTTTTATAGGATTGCAAAGGACCTAGGATTCTCTTTGTAGACTAAGAAAATAGTTTCTCATCGCATTTACGCTTAGGGAATAAGAGTGCTGATTTATTTTGATAGTATTACTTCAGCTCAGAGTTAGAAAACAGAGTGACCCATGGAAACTTATCAGTCGTGCTGGCTTTCGAGGCTGAAAGATGCCTTGATTAGAGGTCCCCCAAGTCAGACGGGCAGTAGGGAATTGTGTTAAGGGACAGGCTCTGCAGTAAGACATTTGGTGCAGTCCATCACTTAGTAAGCTATTTAATTTGGGGATAGTTATTCATTCTTCGTGCCTCAGTATTCTCATCTGTAAAAAGGGATAATAATGGTAGTAACTGCTAAATATGGTTAGAAGAGGCTGGTTGGAAGTATAAAATCCCAAAGTTTATAGAAAATGTTGAGCCCGTGTCTTAATTAATCCTGATAAATATTAGTGAAGATTATTCTGAAGTTAGTCCCATGTACGTCACTGTCTATCGATAACGCCCACTGAATTTTTTATGTTTGTTTATTTGCTAATTGGAGATCATGTGATTTCTTTCGTACCTACTTGGCAGATTTTGAGGATCGAGTTATTATGGAAAAGTCTTAGAAAATGTACAACATTAATGATCATTAGATTCGGGTGCCAGGGACCTTGTGTTGCTCTTTCCCCTGATATTTTCCCCCTGCCCCTGGGATATACAGTGATTTCTATAAAGATAAGTCAGTGTAGACATTTGGGCCAAGGCCAGTTGGTGATGGCAGTTCTCCTTCTTGCCAAGTTCCTCCGTAAAATGGAGCCGGGAGTAACTTTTAGCTTCCTTTCCTGAGGAACAGTGAAGCCAATACGAGCACGTTAGGATGGAGCCGGGACCCTCCCTGGGATGGTTCTGAATCTCTCTGGGGTCCGAGGGCCGGGAGGCAGCAAGGGGGTGCCGAGCAGAGGCACGCATCCTGGCCCCCCCTCTCCTGCCTCAGCTGCAGAGGCTTCTCTTCTGTTTGCCTTGTATATTGGGCTGCTGCTTAGCGTTTAAGGCAAGAGCTCTGCTGCTTTTTTTCTTTTTAGGTTACGTATATTTTCCCAAATTTTACTTAACCGTTTTTAGGTGTACAGTTCAGAGTGGCATTAAATGCACTCCTGTTGTGCAGTCGTCTCCACCATCCACCTCCAGAACATTTCATCTTCCCAAACTGAAACTCTGTACCCATTAAACATCATCTCTTCCCGTTTGCCTCCCTCCCCTTAGGTTGCCCTTGGCCATCACCATTCCACTTTCTGTCTCTATGAATTTGGCTACTCCAGGTACCTCACATAAATGGTGGAATCATACAATATTTGTGTTTTTATATCTGGTTTACTTCATTTGTCATAATGTCTTCAGTTTTCATCCATATGTAGAATGTGTCAGAATTTCTTTTTTTTTTAAATTCACACCCTACGCTATGTTTATTGATTTTTTTTTAGAGAGAGAGAGACATCGATGTGAGAGAGAGACATCGATCGGTTGCCTCCTGTTCACACCCTGACTGGGGATCCATCCCGCAATCTAGGTAAGTGCCCTGACCGGGAATCGAACCTTCAACCTTGTGGTGTGTGGGACGATGCTCCGAACAACTGGGCCAGGACTTTCCTTTTTAAAACTGAATGCTGCTCTTTTGTATGTACGTGTGTATAGACACCATTTTGTTCATTGATTCATCGATGAACCCTTGCTTCCATCTTTTGGCTGTTTTGAATCATGCTGCTGTGAACAGGGGTGTACAGATATCTATTCAAGTCCCTGCTTTCACTCCTTTTGCATATATTCCCAGAGAGGAATTGCTGAACAATACGGTAATTTTGTTTAATTTTTTGAGGAGCCACATACTGTTTTCTACATCAGCTGTGCCATTTACATTCTCACCAGCAACACTCAAGGGTTCCAGTGTCTCCACTCCCTTACCCACACTCATTAATTTTTTTTAAATAGCAGCCATCCTAGCGAGTGTGAAGTGGTATCTCATTGCAGTTTTGTATTTCCTAGTGATTAGTGATGTTGAGCATCTTTTCATGTGCCTATTGGGCAGGTGTGTATCTTCTTTAAAGAAATATTTACTCAAGTTCTTTGCCGAGTTTTAAATTAGGTTGTCTTTTTTTATTGTTGTTTGCCCTGCTTTTTTTTGTTTTGTTTTTTTAATATGTCTTTATTGATTTCAGAGAGAGGAAGAAAGAGGGAGAGAGAGAGATAGAAACGTCAATGATGAGAGTCATTGATCGGCTGCCTCCTGCATGCCCCCTGCTGGGGATCGAGCCCGCAACCTGGGCATGTGCCCTGACCAGGAATCGAACCGCGATCTCCTAGATCCTAGACTGACGCTCAATGGTTGAGCCACGCCTAGCCGGGCTGCCCTGCTTTTTAAAAGCCTGAAAAAGTATACTCTCTCGTGCCAGATGAATCACAGCATTTGAATACAAGGAACGAGATGCTGAGGGTTCAGCAGGGAAATCAACAGACAGAAATCCCTACTCACAGGGAGCTTCCATTCACTGTGGGAGACAAGCAATTAAAATACGTAGTGTGGCGATGATCAGCTCTATGGAGAAACACCAAGCAGGGAAGCAGAGGGAGTGTGAGGTGCAAGGGGTGGTTGAAGAAGGCATCACTGAGGAGGTGACGTTTGGGCAGAGACCTGAAGTGCAGCTAGTTGGAAGGGAGCATCCTAACATTCCAGATCATTGCAAAGACCCTGAGAGAGGAACAGGCCTGGCGTTTTAAAGCACCAGCAAGAGGCCCGTGTGGCTGGAGCAGAGAGAGTAAAGCCTGGATTGCAGGAGGTGTCAGGAAGGTAATGAAAGTGGAGCAAGGCAGTCTGGCAGGACCTGAGAGGCCCGTTACCAGGACTTTGGCTTCTACTCTGAATGAACATTTTATTACCAGNTGTCAGGAAGGTAATGAAAGTGGAGCGAGGCAGTCTGGCAGGACCTGAGAGGCCCGTTACCAGGACTTTGGCTTCTACTCTGAATGAACATTTTATTACCAGAGGACACTGGATACACACTGCTTAAAAGAGGCCAGTGATTTTCTCATCTAGAAGACATCCCATTACTCACACCGTGCTGCTTAGGAAGGATAGTGCCATAGGGCGCAGAGCAAGAAAACACCTGCAGGAGACAGGTAAGGTGGGTCTATCCCCCCCCACGCCCAGGAGTCTATCTCTTCTTTCAACAGACACGTATTGAGCGCAGAGTCTGCACGCTGGGCTTGGAGATAAGGAAATGAACTTAGTACAGTTCCTGCAGCTGAGCTGAGGAGGTAGAAAGAGTCGGTAAGCAGCAGCACCACAGTGGCGCGAGCTTCGGGAGAAAGATGGGGAGTCGAGATGGTGCGGGAGCCTCACTCAGACTGGGCACTGGCAGCCTGGGGAACAGCGGAGGAGAGGGAATAGGTTGGATTAGGGAAGGCCTCCTGGCGAAAGTGACATTTGAGCTGCCACGAAAAATTGATAGGAATTAACCAAGCAAATAAAAGAAAGGGGGGTGTCTGACAGGGCACACGCGGGTGGAAAGAGGCTGGTGTCAGAGCTTGTGAGGCACGTCTGCTGTGTGCCGGAGCACGCGCAGTCGCTTGGGGCGTGGTAAGACAGAAACAGGGCAGGCTTCACCACGAGAGCCCTTTAATCCCCTAATAAACTGGACTTACAGCCCAGTGACTTTAGATGAGAGCGTAATGGGCAAGGCGGTGATGGCAGTGGGGAAGCTCGCTGGGGACGCGAGGGGCGCACACTAGAGGCTGGGACGCCTGGGAGTGTGGCTCAAACAGAAACCTGGGTGAGAAATGATGAAAGCTGGGAAGAAGGCAGTGATTAGAGCAAGGGAAGGCTCAGAAGAGATGATGTGAGAGAGACAGTTGAGGTGACCTAGTGACCTCAGCTGGGTGCTGGTCCTTGGAAGTGGACCCGGGAGCCGGCACAGGTGTAGAGGCGAGGGGGTGGGGAGGAATGACTTGAGTTTTGAATATTCGAACTTCCAGGTGGAGGGAGGTGTTTTGTAGGAAGGTAGGAATACCGGTGTGGAGCTCAGGAACAAGTCTGGGGAGGCTTAGATTTTAGGAGCCGCAAGTCCAAAGCAGTTCCAAGCAGAGAGGGGAGCTGCAAGGAGGGGGCGAAGTAACTGTGCCTGGGCCGTAGAGAGGTCAGAACAATAAGGATGATGAAAGTGGGCAGGGACTGTGAGCAAGAAACGGGACCACGGGGTGAATAAAGGCACCGTTACCTCATTTGCAGACAGGCATGAAGCATGCGAGAGGAAGATGCAG